GTGAGCCTCCAGCAGAGTTTTCTCAAAGCACTGAAATTCCTAATTTCCACTGAAGTCTGTCTATTTTACATGTCCAAATGCAGATAATCAAAAAGGTTTTAAATTCAAGAAACTAGATACAGCTTAGCTACAGAGTTACAGAATTTTCATTTTTTCTTATTCCACACTGGAGAGAAATTCGATGGGTTTCAACTTGAGCATCAGGATCACCTTGAATGTGGGCACAAAAAATGCATTCAGGCACAACTTCCAAATCAAATTGTATAAATTGTTTCCCGTAGGCTTTTCTGGTTTGCTCTGTGTGCATTTCAAGTTGCAGAACATGCCTGCCAGATTACGCCTAATGCCTTTTCAGTGTACCCTTTCTAAAGAGATTTTTTTCTGTAGGGTTGGGTAGCATAGAGTGTATGTATTAACAAAGAGGATTACCCCTAGTTCAGTCAAGATTTATAAGTGCAACCACTTTTCTGCAATGTTGCTCAGAGCAGCTTGTGATGCTCTTAATCCCAATCACACGCAACTGGTATCATCGGTTAACTTAAGCTGCATCTACACTGCTGAACTCAAGAGCACTTCAGAGGTTACTGACACACACCCACTGTATCAGATGGGATCCATGTGCCAGTCCCTTTCCTGCTGTCTGGATGAGCAAAGCTAGTTATAATCTACACTGATACATGAAGATGTTTCATAGAGTATTTGGGGAGTATTTTGCCCACAAGCCATAGTCATAGAGCACATAGATGAGGCAGGTGATGGGACAATACATAGCTAATTATGAATGGGGAGAAATGTTGACTGGATAATCTCACTGCACTGTAAAGAGCAAGGGTAGGATTTCATTCTCTTCTCCAAATTCTTTTGGGCTTTATTTTTAGCAAATTAGATGATGTGCATGTTTTCTCAGTTGTTCATCTAAGTAAATGCTGTGTGTTCCCCATGTTTTAACCTTATCAGATGCTTTCGACCTCATTAAAAGCTGCTCTACATATTCAGAACACTTTTGCATGACAAAAGTCTGTAGTAGTACAGCCTTTTTTGCTATGCTGGTTGTTTTTTTCTTCAGTTAAAATCATTATTGATCTGTCTCCGGTTCCTAGAAGTATGCAACCCAACACTGAAGAAATCTTTATGGTCTGTTTTTCCTTATGACTCCTACGACCCTATTTGCTACAAGCTGCTAACCCTCATGTTGCAACCATCCCTTTTCTTCCAATTCTGCTATCTGGGTGTATTACAGGGATGTGGGAAAAATAATACACACAGGCAGATCAGCTTGGCTCAGCATCACATGTATACATTGTGTCATATGTAACATGTATACAGCATGCATGGGTTTTATATTGCAAGCATAAAAAAATATTTTGTTCAGCAGAAATACAATAAGCATTTTGTCTGTTCCAGCAATAGCATTAAACCAGTCCTTGAATCTGTTGTTTTACAACACCAAGAAGCATTTTACACAGGAGCATTCAGCTGTCAAACACAGGATGAGCAAAAGCAGTCAGGTTTTCTTTCTCTTTGTTTTGTTTTGGTTTTACATTTTGGCTTTTAGCCATGAACCAGATTTCTGGGTACTATAGGGACCACTGACATCAGCTACTGCCACCATGAATCTGATACTCCAATATTCACAGAAGGAATACCAGCAAGTTTCAACTATGTCTACTCCGGAATTTTGATGCTGTAACATTTATTTTTCCAATACATCCCTGTACCAATCTAAATAAAAACAAAACCACAAACAAACAAACAAAACACAAACAAAACTAAACTAAAAGTAGCCTACCAACAGCTTGGCATGTTCACAGACACTGGGAGCAAGTCTAGTCTATGCAGGCTTACCAATCCTGCCCAGTGACCTGGACGTGTGCCCACAATGTGATGGCCTCAGCAAGCAAAGGCTGCAAAGCCCACCTAATTAGCTGGGTAAATAATTAAGCATGGACCCATGCTCAGCTCCATGCTGCCATGGGTACACTACCTGCAGGATTCTACTTGCTTACTTATAAAAGCTAGCCTGCATATGCTGTGAGCTACACTCTGAGCCTGTTATCTAGAAAGTCTTAAAGCCTCTTGCTTCATAGAATGTGGACTGAATATTTCATCTGGATGAAATAACGATTTTGTTAAATGATTCCTTACCTCCTTAAATGAGAAGTTCTGTAGCTTCACTGGCCAAGAATCAACCCCTCAAGACTGGGCTAGTTAATTTTTGATGTGACCTGCTGGCTAATTTTGGCTGCGGAACTGTGCATTTGCTCCAGCTACCACAATAGCCCAGTTCTGCATGACAGTCTCTGAGCTTGGAACGGCAGCAATGCAGCTGCTGCTGCAGTCAGTGGGAGAAAGGAAAATGCAGTACCTCTCCCTGTAAGAGCAGAGCCCTGATAAGCTCTGAGCAGATGTGCTCTGGATTGGGATGCTGTTCAGTGACCCTATCATGAGAGAGGCATTCAGCATTATTGCCCATTTCTGCACTAGAGACATCACAGTCTAATGCCTTCTAGAAAGAAGAAATTGAAAATACTTTGTTTTGGCTGATATGGATTAAACAGATAGAAAGGTGTGTAAGATGAAGAAAACTTCCTATTCCTGTTTCTTCTGGTTTGTTTTACGGGGCGTTTGTTTGTTTGGTTTTTTTTGGGGGGGGGTGTTTCTTTGTTTGTTTGTTTTTGTTTTGTTGTGGGTTTTTTGTTTGTTTTTTTTAACTAGAAAAACACCTGATAAAAGTCTTTTGTTCCAAACTGTATTCCCTTTTTATTACTGAACACCATTGCTGGTATGTGAGAAACAGACAGGATGGGCTGCATGTCCAGAAGGAAGTCTGCAGTATGTGACTGGGCAGGGCCTAATGAAAGTTCCTGGGACAGAGCAGAGCAAAGGTTTCCCTTTCTGCCCTTACTCTCCATGCTACTGTTGTTGCCCCAGGGTAATTGTTCCTTGCAAACATAGGATCTCAGCAAGTCCTGATGGTCAGTAGCAGCACTACAAACTATTAGTCCTTCTGGATATGTGTCACATTGGTTGGGCTACAGAAATGCATATCAGGCACCAAATTATATATCATGTAAGCTGTGTGATACCTGTTTTCTTTAGGACAGGGTCTTTTCTATGCTGGGACAATGATTCATCTCATGTAATTTAAGTGTTTAAAATTAGTTGTCTGCAGCTGTACCAATATGACTTTACAGCTAATGGAGAGAAATGAGAAATACCAAAGGATGATTCACTTCATCCTAAGATAGGCGAGAAAAATTGCCCTTCAGACATGGTTATTCCTATACTTTAATTGTAAATGGAGCCTTGGGAACTCAGGTTAAGTAGGGAAATCAAACTAGAACTGATTTCTACAATGGGTGTCCCAGTTTTTAGCATCATCTCCAATTCTACTAAAAACTGAAAGGCAATAAGCAGCCTTAATGTCCATGGCAAGTGTCCCAGCCTATGATCCACAGAAGCAGTAGTATTTTGCAAAAGTTGTGCTAAGAGGTTAGCAACTGTCCTTTGTATTTGTTTTCATTAATAGGTTTAATGAAAAAGGGGCATGGGGGACTGGAAAGAAACTTGGAGGGAAGACAGTAGACTGAGGCTTATGACACTAGGGAATTCCTGCCCAAAGGTAAACTTCCATAAAGCAGAATTGAGGTTATGTTACGTGATCTGCTTCTGGTATGTTCAGTGGGAGCAGAGGATAAAGTCTCCAACAGCTAAGGGCTACCTGACTTCTCAGACTAGAACCTTCGTGGAGCTTGGATTTTGTATAGGTCTTCTGCTGGCTCCATCCACAGGGGCAAATATGGCCCATAAAAACACAATATGCTACTTCCTACCCACCACTGGTTTCCAAATTGTCTCTAGAAGCAATAACTCAGACACCTTTGTTTACACCCAGACTGGGATGTGATGTGGCAATTAAACCTGAAGAGGAGTTAAGAAAATCCAGTTGTGGTTAAAACTGTCATGTATTCAGAAAGGATGAGTCAGAAGGATCTCAAATATCTCAGATATTATACTGCTACCATGGTCACATAATTCTCATCAGTGTGAACAGAAGTTAGGCACCTCAAGGAGAGGCAATCCTCTACATAAGAATAGAACAACAGAGATTTTAAAAGTGAAAATAATTTCCCATACAGTATCAGCTGTCTAATTTCACTGTAATCTTGAAATATATAGTATTTAAAGTAATACAAAACAGCAGGAAGATTAATTCCTGATGTCAGAAGAGAGGAGTTATTTCTGGCAGGCTTTAATGGATCTGCTGCATCACAGGGAAACTTCTTCCAGCTAGCCAGTAATAAAACCACATACAGACACTTACAGTCTAACCTCGTAAAGGACCCAAATCAGGGCACAGCGGGAAATTTGCAATTAGGCTAAAGCCACATGTTGTGGTTACTGACTACTCTAAGACCCCTGTGACACTGTGTGATTGTTACTTATCTATTTTATGGCAACTAGAAGCAGGCTGGCCTCTCTCAGTAGAGATCAGACATGACCTCAGCTTGAAAACCAGCCTTTGGGTTAAGCGCTGCTCTTAAGTGTACAACGTGAGTGGAGCCAAGGGTTTCAAGTGGTTACAGTTACCCAGCACTGCATGCAAGCACTTTAGTTTATTAAGTGCTAAGTCAACACATAAGAATTTTAGCAAAACCAATGTCAAAAAGTAGGAGCAATGGGACAAAATGAAGGAGAAGACACTCAACCACGCTTAGCTATCACCACCACGAAGCTGGAAAAACATACAGCTGCAATGGCTATACTGCCAGCACAGAGCAATTAATTGTCTGGTTGATTTGAGAGAGGAGACAGAGTAGTAGCTTTTCCAGTCTGCACAGGAGTGTCTCCCAGGGCCAGGAGCCACTCGGTGGGCAGCTGCAGGGGAACCAGTCTGACGGGACCCTGGAGTCAGTGGAGAGGAGAAAAGAGAAAAACTGCAGATGACTAGTGTTTGGATGCAGCAGCATTATAGGAAATCTATACGTTACAATGGCAATACGACACATCCTGGCACCAGGAATGGTTCAGAAAGGCCGGGATAGAGCGGCACGTCTGCTGTCTTCGCAGAAATCAAACTGCAGCCCGCGGTGCGGCGTGAGCTGGGTGAGTACCACTGCCTGCGTCGGGAGCAGACCCAGGGTACAACTAACGTAACGTGAGGGGGGTTTAAAGAAACTGAGAAGCGGGTCTATTTCTGGGAATCCCGATGACAGTCTCATCTTTGAAGCGCAGAGGAAAATGGGACCCTGGCGCAAACTGCACCCAAACAGAAGCCACCTGGCCTCCTCCGCGTTGTTCCTCAGAAGCAGAGACCTGAATAAGCCAGAGGCTCCGCCTGGGAACCCTCCCCGTCGCTCTCCGCAGCGAGCATGCCGGTGCCAGGCCGGGCTGGCTGTCCTAGGGGGCCGCCGCCACCCGGGGCTCCGGCAGCAAAGCCCCCGGCCCTGCCTCAGGCAGGGAAGCGCCGCCGCCACGGGTATCCCAGGCATGGCCCCACCCGGAGGTGGGGGAGGACCCGTCACTCCGGCCCGGCGCCGCACGGGGGGAGTTTCTCCTCAGCAGGTGGGGCCGCTCCGCCGCCCGCCCCTCCTCACCGCCGACACCCCGCAGCTTCCCGGCCCAGAGGCTGCTGCTCGCCGGGAGCCGCCGGCAGCGGTAGCAACAGGTCCGTGCCCGCTCCTCCCTCCCCTCCGCCTGCCAGGCGAACAAAGGGGCTGAGCGCGGCCCCGCGCTCGCCCGGCCCCTCCGCCAGCTCGGCCCCTGCGCTTCAGCCATTTGCCTCGCCTGGCATCGCCCCGCCGCTCCCTCCCCGCCTCCCCGGCCTCCCCGCCGGCTCCCGCGCCGTGGGCGAGGCGGCGGGGCCGCTGCACTGCAGGAGCTGCCCCGAGCGGAGCGGGGCTCGGCGGCCGCGGGAGGAAGGTAAGCGGAGAGGCAGCGCGGCCGCGGGACGGGAGCGGGGTCGGGGTCGGGCACGTCCCGAAGCCGGGGCTGTGCCAGAGCCCCCTCCCCGGCCGCCGCCGCGGAGCCTCCGGGGAGCCCGTGGGGAGGATCGGTGCCAGTATCTGCCGATGTCTGCGGTACAGACTGGGACGCGGAACCATGGTAGCCGTGTGTGTGTGTCTGTGTGAGCGTGAGGGGGGATGCTGGAGCACTGTCAGGTTTAATCGTGCTATTCTCTTCCCTCTGTCCCCCTTAATCCCCCTCCTCTGGGCAGTAGGGAGGCCGGGCATATCCCCATATCCCTTCTCCATATGTCAGAGAGAGCGCCAACCCTAATGCTTGCGTATTTTTTTTTTTTATCCTGCTGACCTATTAAAAATCTAAATGACTCTTTACACTAACGTTTAGGGATGTGTAAGAGCAGCAGATTGCTTCCCGCTATAAATTCTTCATGGCGTGCTTCCCCATCCTACTAAAAGCACACGCAAGCCCTGGGTGAACACATGCGTGCAGGATTTTGCAGGGTGGAAGATGCCCGAAGAAAAGTCCTACTGAATTTCAGTTGTCTGAAGCTGGTAGGTTTTTATGTCTAGTTCTTTAAAGCAACAAAAAGCTGACTCCTGAACCCAAACCTACACACAGCACAGAGAATGATATATAGCCTCATAAGCCACCAGCGTGCCTGTAGCAAATGTGGATAGAGCCTTCCCAAATCTTCGTTCGCGAAGCCTAGCCATGATGATGATGATGATCTTTAAAGCAACAAAAAGCTGACTCCTGAAGCCAAACCTACACATAGCACAGAGAATGATAGTATTACATGGTATAGCCAACTTTTTTCACCTATCAAGAAAAAATAAAGCTCTGTAGAAGTGACATTCTGTAAAGCTTTTCCACAGCAATTAAATTGAACAATAGAAAACTAGAACAAAAAGCTAGGAAAAAAGTAGGGCAATAAAAAATAGAATAGCAATAAAATAGAACAATCATTCTGTATGATCTGAGAAGCAAAATAGCTCCTCCATTTTTCAGAGACTTAACCATCTGTCTCCCAGAAATGAATTAAGTGGAATGTTTGTGGAAAATAATAATTAAATTGTCACTAATATTGGCAAAACAATATTTGCTTCCCTGTTTAACTCTCTGGCCCATCGTGCTTGTTCTGCATTTTCCTCTGCCTAGGGCGCATCACACAGCATTTATTCACTCTTTAATTAGGACATCCAGTGCATGCCAATGGGATCCTCTGGTCATTCACTGTTAATGGCACTGTCTGAGGAGAACCTGCCAAAGAGCTGAGGACTGTTCCCATGCCTGCTCCAGCTCCTCTCTGCTCTCCAGGACTCACTCCTGGCAATGGTGGCACTGAGTCAGTGGTGACAGTCTTAGGAGCTGGAGTTTGCAGGACTGTGCCTTAGTATCAAAAGATAGAAATCCTTAATAGGTTTCTTTCTTCTATGAATGCTGCGCTATCATCACTTTTCAGTATAACAGATAGTCCAAAGAGGTGGACAGACTTCAAATGTCAGTAAATATTACAGCACATTATTTGGCAGGAACATTCAATGAAAGCCATTAACTGGCTTTACTTTAGTAAAGCAGGATTATAGTATTTAGGGCTGGCCTAGGTTACCATAAAGACAGTGATGTGGTTGGATGACTGGATCCAGATCCTACTTACCGGGGTTTCGGCATCCTGTAGTATCCTGTTGCAAGAGGATATTAGGGGCTGCTGAATGCTAAAGAAGGGTATAATAAAACACGAAAGGAAATCCTGCAATTTCTTTTAACATAGAATTAAGCCTTTTTTTTTTAAAAACTTTTTTTTCTTGATGAGGTCCTGTATGGGTTTTGCGGGCATTTTTCTATTTATCCCTACTGACATTGTGTAGCGTTGCAGTTGGAAGCCTGTTTCTTTCCCATGAACAGGAGAGAAGTCATTTTATACCTCTTCACATCCTTGAAAATACCCATTTTAAAAATGAGCTCATTTCCATTAGCCTTCTCTGGACATGACATTTTTATATCTGCTGTTTTATTTTTCAGTGGAATTGACATCATTCTTTTTGCTTCTTTTTTGGTCTCGGTGTTGTTTTGTCAGAGAACAGACATGATTAGTTCCTTTCACTGAAGAATTACTTTATAGCAGTTCAGGATTTGACAGCCAGTTTAACCTGATCTATGAATGAGCTGTCCCGGAGCAGGAAGGAACCCTGCTTCTTCTGCTTCTTCTCTAGCCTGGGCTAGAGAAGTTCAGTTCCCTGTGCCAGCACTCATAACCATGTGACAATACGGTGAATGGATAGAGATCTTGTCTTCCTCCTGCAGTTAATTAAGCAAACACCCAGTTTACACATGCAGATGTTGGCGTTAGGAGTGGGGCTGATCCTGGGATCAGACCATTTAAATCTGCCTGTAACTCTGTGGGATCAGGACCTGTGTTTTCCTTAGACAGTGTTGGAAATGCTGCGGCCTTTTTTTTGGCCTCATCCTAAAATGCTCATTGGATGCTAACTGGCAGTTTTGGCACTGAAAGGATTACAAGAGTGGGTCAGTATTGTATAAGGGTCCAGAAAGCTAAGATGATCCCAGATATGGAGGTAGAAACTGGAATACTTTATTGAACACACAAGTGCAATTTAAGGGTCTTGGGGGCTGGACATGTTAATGAGGAGGACGAGTTATGTAAATTAGGGGATGGCTTTATGTTAACTAGAGGATTACACAGGTTTCTGCTACAGTTACACAATTGATTAATATCTCCCTTAACCAGAATTAAACGGAGGGGAAGAAAACAAAGGGGTTTCAACATGATTTGATAATTTCATCTCAAAGTCCTTCCTTATCCTGCTGCAGGAGCAAGATTAATCCACGTGGTTGTACATCAACAGGTCTTATGAGGAAGGTCCAGTCCTTCAGATTAAGGGATTTATCTCAGCCTGTGTTGCCCAAGGTTTCCTGTTTAATCCTAGCAGTTCTTTTTCTGCAGGTATCTGAATTTCGGACTGCAACAGTATTGTATATGGGGATTGAGTGTTATTGCAAAAAAGATTTGTCTGGGTCCTGTGCACTGCACATTTGGTACTTTCCAGTTCCTTATACCCCATCAGCAAGGATGGCAGGAATTCATGATTGGTTAAGTCAGTTTATTTAATGCAAAACAAGCTGGAGAAAAAAAATCCAGTGGTTCTGCAGATTTTGTGCTGTGTGTCAGAGGGAGAAGAAAGATGTGTCATATAAATGCTTTTCAGGTGTGATGTTTCATTAGCTGCCATTGCTGTGCCTCTGGCTAAAACAGACGGATTGACAGCCTTTTTTAACTCACTCGGAAACACTCCAGAAACCACAACCTTTCTATACACATTGACATAAGTTGGTCAAGCAGGTTCCATGCTGTTATGTTGTCTGTCACAACATGATTTGCATTAATTGAAGTTATTTTACATGTACACATTTATAGATTAGCACAAGCTGCTTGTTGTTTTTCTGGACACTGATTCCTTCAGGAGTACTTAAGGAGCAGAGTAAGCTTTTCATGTGGATCTGTAACTGCTGGAAGGCTACTGGACTTCTGACTAATTTCAGACTATCAACCTGTCAGAGTTAAACAATAGTGCGTTGTTGTTTTTTTTCTTGGAAGCAGATCTGCTTTTCTCTCTCTCCCTCTCTTGTAAGTAGATTGGAAGAACAGGCCTTAAGATGTGGAGATAAACTATTATTTCTGCAACCCATATTTCAGAGTGTTAGACAGTAAGAACTAAAAGCCAACCCTTTGGTATGGAAATGGCATGTGAACAACAAATGTTCTGATTCCATCAGTCGAAGACAAATCTGTTCATGGGAGAGTTCTCCTCTTTATCCTATAGTTTTCTTCATTTCTCCTTTACTGCAACTCCCTGCATTGCTTCACTTCAAAAAAAGCTACTGTATACATTTCTGTGTACAGTTGTGGTAGATTAACCCTGGCTGGATGAACATGCCCACCAGAGCCGCTCCATCACTGCCCTCCTCAGATGGACAGGAGAGAGAAAATGAAATGAAAGTCTCGTGGGTTGAGATCAAGACAGTGAGAGATCACTCACCAGCTACTGTTACGAGCAACACAGACTTGACGTGGGGAAATAAGAGTAGGATAATGAGAAATAAAAATGAAATCTTGAAAACATCTTCCTACCACCCCTCTCTTCTTTACAGGGCTTAACTTTACTCCTGAATTCTTCTTCTTCCTCCTTCAGGGAAACAGGGAAAGGGCATTTTGATCAATTCATCACATGTTTTATATGCTGCTCCTTCCTCACAGTCTTCCCCTGCTCCAGCAAGAGATCTCTCCCACGGGAGATGGTCCTCCATGAACTTGTCCAGTGTGAGTCCTTCCCACAGGCTTCTGTTCTTCATGAACTGCTCCAGTGTGAGTCCCTCCTACGGGTTGCAGTTCTTCAGGAACAGGCTGCTCCAGTGGGGCTCCCCTGTGAGGTCAGAAGTCCTGCCTGCAAACCTGCTCCAGTGTGGGCTTCCCATGGGGTCATGGCACCCACAGCAGCCACCTGTTGCAGCGTGGAATCCTCCACAGGCTGCAGGTGGATCTCTGCTCCACCATTAACCTCCATGAGCTGCAGGGGCGCAGCTGCCTCTGTTCCAGTGCCTGGAGCACCTCCTCCCTCTCCTTCTGCACTGACCTTGATATCTGCAGAGTTGTTTCTCTCACATATTCTCACTCCTGTCTTCTCTGGCTGCCATTTGCTCCTGCGCAGTAACTTTCTCCCCTTCTTAACTATGTTACCCCAGAGGTTCTACCACCATCGCTGTCCGGCCTTGGCCAGTGGGTCTGTCTTGGAGCCGGCTGGCATTGGCCCCATCAGACATGGGGAAGCTTCTGGCAGCTTCTCACAGAAGCCACGCCTGGAGCTCTTCTGCTGCCAAAACATCGCCATGCAAACCCAATACAATAGTGTAAGAAATCCAGATGCTCGTGAAGTTAATGGGAGTTTTCCCTTGGCTACAATGGGGTTAGGATTTAAAGTGATGTCAGACTCTGGCTTTATCAAAATGCTCTGAAACTTAGGTGGGGGTTTCTAGCTGCAAGCTACTAGCACAAGCTTCATTCTCTCCAAAGCAGTACACAGATATATTTCTTGTTTAATAACAACTGATAATAGGGTCCTGAAGTTTGGTTTCCACAGCAGATGAA